TATATATATATATATTGACCTGAGTCTCAGAAAAGACTTTGGACTGTAGACTTTTGAATAGTATTGAGACTGATAATGACTATGGGGACTTTTAAAGTTGGACTAAATGCATTTTGCATTTTATATGGTCATGAGCCTATGAGGGCTGGGGGAGTGGAATGTGATGGTTTGAATGAAAATGTTCCCCCTAGGCTCCAAGTATTTGGACATTTTGTCCCAGATGGTGGTGCTGTTTTGGGAGATCTTAAAAGGTGTGGCTATCCTGGAAGAAGCATGTCACCAGGGGTGGGCTTAGAGAGTGCTTAAGCCTTGTCGGATCTCCAGTTGCTCTCTTGATTCCTGTGGCTGCATGATGTGAGAGCTTAGCTTCTGTTGCTCCTGCTCCAGCCACCTCCAGCAACCATGCCTCCCTGCCATGATGGACTGTAATTCCCCTTGAACCGTAAGCTCAAATAAACTCTTCCTTCTATAAATTGCTTGGGTCAGTGTTTTATCACAGCAACAGAAAAGTGACTAATACAGCATTATAACTGAAATCTGGTAAATGTTCTTACCTCTAAATAATAGTTATTAATGTCAGAGTATTAAACTGAATAAAGTATAAGTACTAATGGGGTTTGAAAAACAGAAGTGTGCTTAAAACTTTTGAGGTCATAAAATCAAAAACCAAAATACTTAAATATCCTTATTTGAATAAGGCCAAAATAGGGTTATTATCATCTTATTTTTCTAGGGTTTTTTGGTTTTTGTTTTTTGTTTTGAACAAGGTCTTTCTAGTCCAGCCCACCTAGAAGACACTATGTGAACCAGGCTGGACTTGATCTTACAGAGATCAGTCTGCCTCTGCTTCTGCCGGGATTAAAGGCATGCGCCACCATGCTGGGCATTTATCATCTTATTTTGTTTTTAAAACAATTCTCTACCTCACAGAAGAAACATCTTGACATTAGAGATGGGAAAGTTAAAAGGAAGAGATGAAACTAGAACACATGTCTCTTGATTTTTGATACTTTAATACTTCCTTAACATTTTTAAACAGGTTTTTTTGTTTTTTTGGTCTTTTTGAAACAGGGTCTCCCTGTAGCCTCAACTGGCCTGGAACTCACTATGTAGACCAGGCTGGCCTCTAACTCAGAGATCTGCCTGCCTCTGCCTCCCAAGTGCTGAGACTACAGGCGTGCACCACCACACTGGGCTTAAACAGGTATTTTAAATTAATAATAAAGAACAATTAGATGTTGTTTACTTGTTATTTAACATATGTAGTTAATATAATCACAGCATATCCATCTTCTGAAAATCAAAATAATTTACTATTTTACCTACCCCAACAATCCGTTTCATAGCATCTAGTTTAGCAGAATCTTTGCTGCTCTCTAGCATCTGCTTCAGATCTTCATTCCTTTACAAAAGAGAAGAAAAATTCCATACTTTTGACTTTTATATAGGACAGGCATACAAATACATCATTTTTATGAGAACTGAAAACAATATGATGGGCAATGTTAAGTAACTACACTCAAAATTGATGACTTACATCTTTAATCCTACTATGTCCATGTGGTGTGCTATTAGAAAGCCCACCAATGACACAAGGGTAAGAACTGCCCTTCAGTTTCACATTTACTATTGAAATTGAAATGTCAACAAGAACATGGCATACAGATTCTGTCATCCCAAATGGATGGATGGATGGATGGATGGAAGGAAGGAAGGAAGGAAGGAAGGAAGGAAGGAAGGAAGGAAGGAAGTTAGTTTTCTGAATCAGTTCTAAAATATCTCCATATGAAAACAAACCAAAAAACCTAAGACTTTTTTTCAGAACGTGTCATATAAGAGCACTGATTAAACCTGCATCACTCACATCACCCCATTTCCTACCCCTAGTGACTACAGTGGGAAGCCCAGTGACACTCCCTTCATTCTGAGAATAAAGGTTCTTTAACATCTAAATAAGAGCCTGGGGTATGAATCCAGGCAGTTAGCTATAAAAATGAAAACACAGGACAGAGTCAAGAATGACCTAGAAGTTCCTTGGGACACAGTAGTGAGCATCCAGCTGGGCACCTGGAAGTGTATGATTGCAGGCTCAGCTGACCCAAGCAGACAGTGCTACCATGTGCAGCCATTTCACCTAGGAGGGGCACATCAGGCCCTTTCACAAGACTCCCTGATACATAAAACAGCCTTAAAAGATAGTCTAGGGGCTGGAGAGTTGGCTCAGAGGTTAAGAGCACTGGCTGTTCATGCAGAGGACCCAGGTTCAGTTCCCAGCACCCACATGGCAGCTAACAACCAGCCATAACTCCAGTTCCAAGAAATCTGACCCCCTCTTTTGTCCTCTATGGACACTGTAGGACATGGGTGCACTTACATATATGCAGGTATAACACTCATTCACATAAAATTAAAAAGTAAATAAATAAATCAAAAAATTTTAAAAAGAAAAAGTCTAGAACAAAGGCCTTCAGTGCCTTTACTCAGAAAGGCTCAAAAAAGAGAAAATGAAGGATGTTCCCCATGTTTTTGTTACTTTGCTTTCATTGTCTTTTGTTTTTTTGGATTTTTTTTTTTTTTGGTCATGATCAGCATTCTATTCTTCTGAGTGAATCCTCTCTTCATAAGTTCAGAAATCCAGTCTTATTCCAATAAAGGACATTCATAATTCATAATCCCTAATCATTTTTTCTTACATATGGTAGAATATTTTCTTTAATTTTATGTGCACAGTGTTTTGTCTGCACATAAGTGCATCACATGCACACAATACCTGTAGAGACAAGAAAAGGGGACTATATCTCCTGGAATTGGAGTTATGGATGGTAGTTAGCCACCATATGGGTGCTAGGACCTGAACCTGGGTCTCTTCAAGAGCAGCTACACCTTAAGTGCAACTTGGCTGACAAATAAATTTAAAAAAGGAGAGTCAAGCACAAATTGTATAGAAAAGGTAGGAAAGTCAATAAACATATGAAAATAACTATTACTTATAAGAGAAATAAATACTATATGAGAATACCATTACACATCCATAAACAGGTAAAATTTTAAAGACTTATGATAATAAATGTTAATAAATACAGAAAGCAACCAGAATCCTTTCACACTGCTGATGGAAATATAAAATAGTACAACCGCTTTAAAAAAAATGGGGGGTTCTTATAAATTTAAACAGAACTTGCCATGTCACTCAGTCATTCCCTTTCAAGGGGAAATAAAAACACATATTTACACAATGACTGTGCTGGATAGTTTTAGTGTCAACTTGACACACCTGGGTTGAGGGAGCCTCAATTGGGGAATTGCCTCTATTGGACTGGCCTGAGGGGCATCTTCTTGATGAGTAATGTGGGAGGGCCCAGCCCACTGTGGGTGGTGCCACCCATGGGCAGGTGGGCCTGTGTTGCATAAGAAAGCAGGCTGAGCGGGGGGCCAGGAGAGCAAGCCAGTAAGCAGTGTTCCTCCATGGCCTGTGCTCCAGCTCCTGCCTCCAGGTTCCTGCACTGAGTTCCTACCTTGGGCTCCCTGATGAACTGTGACCCAGGAGATGTAAGACAAATAAACTCTTTCCTCCCCAAGTTGGTAGTGGTCAGAGTATTTTGTCATAGCAATGAAGAAACAAACCAGAATAACATACAAAAATTTGTAGTAAATCTAGTAATAGTAATTTCACAATAATAAACAACTTGCAAAAACCTAAATGACCGTCAACAAAATGTGATTAAGCCACACATGCAAATATTACTTAGCAATGATAAAGAACTACTGATATGGGCAACAGGCTAAATGAACTCTCAGAATCATACTAAGTGAGAGAAGCCAGACTCAAGAGGGCAAGACAGGGCTTAATTCAGACAACATTCATACAACATTCAACTCACCTGTAGTGAAGAAAGCAAATATATGGTTAACTAGGGTCCATGGAAGGAAGATGAGAGCATAAAAAAGTTTTTATGGGGGCTAAAGAGGTGGCTCACTGATTAAGAACACATACTGGCTCATATACAGGACCCAAGTTTGCCTCCCAGCACCCATTATCAGGCAGCTCACAACTGCCATGTCTCTGATCTCCATGGGTGCTTGCAATCACATGCACATACCCATGCACATATACATAATTAAAAATAATAAAAGCAGGCTGGGTGTGGTGGTACATGCCTTTAATCCCAGCACTTGGGAGGCAGAGGCAGGCAGATCTCTGTAAGTTCAAGGCCAGCCTGATCTACACAGTGAGTTCCAAGCCAGCTGGGGCTACAGGGAGACCCTGTCTCAAAAAGACCAAAAATAACAATAACAATAACAATAGCAATAATAATAATAATAGTTTGAACCTGGGAATGGTGGTGCATGCCTTAACTCCCAGCACTCAGGAGGCAGAGACAAGAGGATCTCTGTGAATTCAAGGCCATCCTGCTCTATAGATTGAGTTCCAGGTCAGGTACGGCTACATAGTGAGACCCATCTCCAAAACAAACAAAAAATAATAATGATAAATCTTTAAAAAGTTTTTGTTGCATTTTCCTCCCTGTGGTGGTAACTTCACAGGCACATACAACAGTCAAACTTTTCTAATTTTAATATTTAAGTGGATAGTTTGTTATACGCAAAATACAACTACAACTACATAAGATCAATAAAAGAAGTTTATTGTCTCTCATTTACATGTATGAATAAGACATTTAGATCTAAGATGATAGGAAATTATGTCTATATTTGAGAAGTGCATGATAGGCCATCATTTTTCGGACTTCAAAATTAGAATGCAAATCCATGTTTATTCAGGAATTTAAATCACAGAATCCTATTTTAATTCATCAAAAGAAAAAAAGCTTCTCAAGTTAATGTAGAAGCTGTCAAGAAATAGCTCAGAGAAATGTAAATTACAGTTAACTACTTGCATCATTACTAGTTTATGAGTTGCAATCTTTCAGTTTCTACAACAAACTGTGAAATATATTTGAAAAAATGTATATGAAAATGAAACAAAAATATATGAAATATATTTAATAAAAATACCACATGGCTCCTTAATGCAACATGTTCAACCACCAAGTGAAAACCAAGACCTTCCTTCATGGTTAAAGCTTCAAATGCAGGTCAGAAGAGCTTCTGAACTTCAAATACATGGCCTTAACTTCTTAAAAAAAAAACACTACAAATTCACACCTCATACCTACAATAAGCATCTATAAGAATAAATGATTAGGGCTAGAGATGAAGTTCAGTGGTAGAGCATTTGCCTTGCAAGTGCACAGCCCTGGGCTCAACTCCCAAAACCATAAATAAGAAAAATATTATCGTTAGGAAACAAGTAGCAACCCAGGCGTGGTTATGCATGCCTTTAATCCCAGCACTCAGGAGACAGCGGCAGGCAGATCTTTGTGAGTTCAAGGCCAGCCTGGTCTATGTAGTGAGTTCCAGGTCAGCTAGGGCTGCACGAAGACCCTGGGAAGGAAGGAAGGAGCATGCTTGATTAGTGTGCAAGGATTACACCATGTCTCCCCACTCCCAATTTACACTTAAATTCTAAACTGCAGTGCCTCAGATGTGACATTTAGAGATAGAGCCTTCTCAGAGGTCATTAAGTTAAAATGAAGATATGTGAGTTGGCCCTTTTCCAATTATGACTACATTTTTGTAAGAACAGCTGAGGCATAGACAGGTACAGACAAGGAATGACAGGTACAGGACACAGCAAGAGGATGGTCATCCACAAGCCAGACAGAGGAGCCCTCAGAAGACAAAGTTGCTGACACCTTGATCTTTCACCTTCACCTTCAGAACTATGAGGAAAGACGTTTCTGTTGGTAAAGCCACCCATGGTCTAGAATTTTGTTAAGTCACCTTGGCAAACTAATAAATTTTAGCAAAAAAGGAAGAAAAATTAGCTAGGTATGGTGGCACACACTTTTAATCCCAGCACTAGGAGACAGAGGTAAGTGGATCTCTGTGAAACCCAGACCAGCCTAGTCCCCACGGCACGTTCCAGCCACCTGCGGTATAGGGAGACCCTGTCTCAAAAAAAGAGGCCAAACAAAAGAAAGAAAAGCTAAGCACATTTTTTTTTCCAAAAAGAATATAAGCAATGAAATTTATTATGAAAAAATTACTTTCCAAACAACTTATAAAATTAAATACAATGATAACCACTTACAGAAAATAATACTTAACTACAGTAATTTCTAAAAATATTTCATTTATTATTTTTCTTTTTATCTCATGAGTGTATTGCCTGCATGTGCACCCATGTCATACAATGCCTGGAGAGGTCAGAAGACGGCATCAGATCCTCTGGAACTGGAATTAGGATGGTTGTTAGCTGCCATATGGGTGCTGGGAACTGAACCCAGGTCTTCTATAAGAGCAGCCAGTGTTCTTGACCACTGAGTCATCTCTCCAACC